AGACCAGCATCTTTTGACTTTTAGCTGTAAGTAAACGAAAACAGCTCAGCCCTGGGGGTCGTGTTGCATGTGTGATTACATGTTCTATTAGCTGTGGAATTGAGAAATAAGTTGTAAATGAGGGAATGTTTTTCCTGGTTCTTCCTCCTGTCTGCTGCTCTCTGCCTGACATCTCTCTTCTTTGGGGATATCTGAGGGTGGTGCTTGTCATCTCCCCCACTGCCTGCTCTTCTGTGACCCTCAGAATACCCTTAATAAGCTTTTTGAGGGGCTGGGATATAACTGAACACTACAGTGCATGCTTAGCATGTGAGGCCCTGGGTTCAGTCCCCAGTACTGCAAAAATAAATAAATAAATAATCTGTTGGAAATGTCTAGATTTCCTTGTTTTCCCCGAAGGATGATATCTGAATTTGTTCAGTCTTGTCATTTGGTACCAAGGCTCCTTGGTATGGTTCAGTTCACCCCCAAGCTTTGGTGCCAAGGTAGCTGCATGTGATGAAAGTTGCCAGGCTTTAAAATAGATGGAACTGTGGTATGCTTACTGCCAGAAGAGAAGGTGATGTTCATTCTTAACTGGCTTCATTGTCCTTGGAGCATGTAGGATTTCAGGACAGTGGCAGATCACATGAATGCAGTGGGTTATGTTTTCTATTGAGTATTGCCTACTTAAGAATATCTATTTCAGGGTTCAATTTACTAGGGCAGAAGATGGTAATTTAGGATCCCATCTTAATCTTGTTGGAGTGGAGTCCCTGCATGTCTGCAATTGAAAGACTCCAGCATGCGTGTGCTCCCTGTCCAGGGGCAGAAGTCACCTGTAAAGGTTGGGTGATGCGATGCAGGCCTCACCATGTTGCCACAAACAGAACTAGTGATGTTGCAGCCCCTCTTGTAGGTTATCAGGCAGGTGCAGTTGGAGGGCTTGACCTTAACTCCAGCTCTCTGCAGGCCAGGTCTCAAATTAGGAGAGAAGAGGAGGTGGTGCCACTGTCTAAGAAGGAAAGCTGGGGTGAGGTGCCAGATGGGGAGTCGAGTCGGTGAGGGTGTGCGGGGGAGTGAGGCCTGTGGCAGGGGCATGAGAGGCTTCTGCCTGTGAATATCTACTTTCATGTTTTTCCTGGAATTGACCCAGACTGTAATGAAGTTACATACATGGATTGAATAAAAAAGATTGGAATTTCATTCGGTCTTCCTTGAAGTTTGCATTTGTTTTGAAGAATTAACAGTTTTGTTAAAAGTAAGAGATGAAAGGAGAGCTAAATGCTTCTTTACCTGTGTCCCCAGTGAGAGGACTGTTGGACCCATGTCTGCCTGATACTAGTCAGTTGCTCTTGGTCAGTCTCCAGGGTCAGCTGGCTTCTTTCCTACTCGTAGAGTTCTGGAATTAGGGATTGGGTCACATTTGCAGATTCTATGAGTGCCGTTGATGAGGCACCGCCAGCACCCCGTCCCAGTGCCAAGATCCCCATCTCTCACATGGCCTCACTGTTGGCCCTGAAGGGACTTGAGGTCAGCTAAGGGGCACAGGCCTTTCTGAGAGTGCCAGGAGAGCGATGGACCCTCTCTTCAGAAAAGTACCCACATAATTGTTGCCAACAGCAAAGGTCTCTAAACCCCAGAAAGCCCATTAAATCTTTTCCTGTCTGTCAAATATCCATTTGTTCCTGACTTTTGCTAATAGGCACGAGTCACTTGATTTTTGTAGTATCATATGCCCCAAGGTGCTCATGTGGTAGAAATATTGAGTCATAATTTTTGTTTTTATTAAAAATCTCATTTTTCCAAAGGCTTCTTCTCTTCAAAGTATATTTTAATTCCATTTCACTTTCAAGTTTGTACGCTTTTGTGGCTGGGCTGGCTCATTTGCAAAGAGCTCTGGGAAAGGGGCATCTGTACATTCTTCTTAAGTCATAAAAATTTGCTCAGCATCATGAAGCCACTTCTAACATCTGTTTTTCTTCCGAAATGGAGAAACAGCATTCTGCTGCTTAGGTCATCTGAAGTTTGTTGTTACTGCTTTGAAGGCAAAACTATAGATCGGAAGGGTGTGGGCAGGCGTAGGCAACCAGGAGACAAGCAGGACATTGTAAGGCAGGGAGGGCCATGGTGTGATGAGCTTGCGCCCCCAGTTGTGTAAAGCAGCCCTTCCATCAAGTGACAGCTGCGGTCTCCTTTGACTCCATGTCAGAAGAGCAGAATAAACAAGTCCTTGACCCTGAAAGAAAAGAAGGTTTTGTGCCTTCCGACCTCCTTCATGACCTTGGAGCTTCAGGTCTTCGCCTGCTAATGCAGGTGCGGCCCCTTTTCCCTCGCCTCCCCAGAGGGATGCAGGCAGAGAGCAGCCTGCACTTTCTGCAGAGGGGCTGAACTGCTCACTGCCGGTCTGATAAATGAAAGCAGCCCCTTTTTTTTTTTTTTTTTTAAAGGCCCTGATTACTTACTTGAGGTTGGGTAGAAAAAGAATTTATTCACAAACTATTACATTTTTAAAAAGGAGGGCAAATTCTCGAAGCTGCATGAAAGAGAAAATAGCGAGCACTGGGTCCCTGTTTAATTTGGGGTCAGGGTTTGCTGAGGATTTGTGCCAGTGAGGGAGATACCTGCTGGGCTTCCCGTGGCCAGCCCTCCCTCGGCAGGATATTGGGGACCTAGGAGCTCTGACCCTGGTCATCCAGATGAGCCAGCTCTGGACCCTGTGTACGAGCTTTGATATTCTCTGCGGCAGTGAGTCTTAGAAGAAAATCATCCCACCCATGGGTCATGTGTTGATTGGGCCTGGGAAGAGTTAGAGAAGTTTATGTTCACTTTAATGAGCATCTGTCTTGTGGCAGGATCTTACAGAAGACTTAGTGGCTGCTGGACAGGGTTATAATTTCTGGAGATGGCAGACAGGAAGAGATGTGGGCTTCTGTAAACATGTCACACTCAGTGTGGCAGGAAATGGGCAAGATGAGATTTTCCCCATGCATTCACTGTGGGCAGATGGGAAGAGAGTGATTCTTTTCTTCTTAAAGCACATAGCAGCCACACTTGAGCTATTGATTTGTTTGGTTTGCAGTCAGTATTTTATGAGAACTAATTTCGAGCAATAATAATTGTGCTCTAAAGAGCTACCTGTTTTGCCAAGGTATTTCAGGGTGCTGACGTTCACCTTTTACCTCAGTGCATGATAGCGGTTTCACTGTAGTTCTTTCCTGTTGTTACTTTTCTTCCCAAAGCAGAGTGCCTGGGCAGTGCCCTCTCCTCCCCAAGGTGGCCTTGGGATGAGGGGATTCTGCTCCTACAGATGACTGTCTGCCTGCAGGCCGCCACACAGCAGTGGCAGTTGCAGTACTCTTCCCTGGAGAGGTGCATGTCCACGCTGCCTGGTTCTGGTGGCCTCCAGTTGAGAATGCAGGCTCCAAGGGGCCTGAGGCAGCACCGGCTTAACACTGGCCTGGAATCCAGAGGAGGGAGAAGGAAGAGCCAGCAGGGCAGGTGGGCAGAAGGATGGCTCTGTGCACGCTGACTACAGCCATTCTGGCCCAGCATCGTGTTACTGGTGGCAGCCCCTGGGGCACAGCAGAAAGGGAGTGGCAGTGAGGTAGGACAGCTTCGGGGCCCTGACTGGAATGCTGGGCTTCTGCCCCTGCTTTCACCACCTTCCCTGTGTAGACTCCCTCTGGGCAGTCTTTCCTAGGTTAGAAGGGTGAGAATTCCTCCCTTAGTTCAGTATGTTCAGTGGAGCAGATGTCTACAGGAGAAGGCCAGAGAACCAGGCACGTGATGGAAGAAAACTCAAAGTGCTGAGGACTTTGCTGAGGCCCTCGCAACCGTCTCTCCATGCATGGTTATGTAGAGATTAAGGATAACCTGGAATATGTCTATAGAAGAGTCTATCTACATGGAAATTTTAAAAATGCCTGCAGCAGACAGGAGAGCACCATGCAGTGTTGGTGAGGGATGCGTTACCCTGGACGGTTACATCGTTTTGACCACTAAGTTAACCTTTGTACTCGTGTATTAGGAATAGTTTTGGATGTGAGATGGTTCTGTCTGATGAGATGAGTCATCACCAGTTTTTGTATGGTCACTCGGGCACGCCTTTATCCTTTTATGTTTGATACCATTGACTGCTGCTGCCTTTCTGTATATTATGCCTGACCGCACTGATAATTGGAAACAGTCTGTGGTGTTCTGTGGAGGGCTTTGCCTGTGCATAAGCAGGTGTATCGTGAGAACATAGGGAAATGTGAGGCGGTGGAATTGGGTGACTTCTTCCAGCAGAATTCGCAGCACAGCTTTGCTTTGTACCTGGAACCCTTGACACTTGGGTATTGGAGGGTGGTGCTATGTTCAGTAATCCCTGTTGCTCATTTCATTAGCTTTCCTGTTTTCTGGTAATTTGTAAAGTTCAAATCGGCAACTGAATTCATAAACTTGCATTAAGGAAAGCAGAGTATGTGGCCAGCATAAATCTCTGTATCATTCTAAAGTTTCAAGGGTTTCTCCTTACGTTTTCATTTTTGCCTAATTCTTTCTCGGTGCCAATTTAGAATTTCTTACACTCGATACAGTGATCCTAATTTGAGTAGAGATAATTGCGGTTAAAATTTTCAGGTAATTTTAGTTCCAAGAGAATCCAACTTTTATTTATGAACAGAAATTTTGTATTAGATCTAGATTACATTGGATTAGTGTCCCGCAATGGGCAAATTAATAGAGCGGATTTAGCAAGGGGGGCCAGTAAGGCCCTTGTCCTGTAGTTGGGTTCTTAAGGAGCAGGAGATTTTTGGTCTGGGACAGTCTTCGGGCCAGGTGACTCACCGATGGGGGCGAGGGCGGATGGCAGGGGATGGCAGTGACCACAGCACAGGACCTGCTTGGGAAGGCCAATAGGATGGCTGACAGAGAAATCGTCCTGGGGGCAGGGTTGGGGGTCTCACTCAATTTCTTTGCTGTGTTTCTGACTTCTAACAGGCCAGCTGGTGATTACTTAATGATGATTTTCATTTTAGCCAAACTCAGGCCCTGAACTGGTTTTGTCCGAAGATGAGAAAACTGACAGTGAAGATAAAGAAGAGACAGAATTGGGTGTCATGGAGGATCAGCGCAGTATAATTCTTCATCTCATCTCACAGCTGAAACTTGGAATGGATTTGACCAAGGTAGGCTGGGGTGGCCCACAGGATTTGTGGCCAGTTGTCTGGGTTCTTTCTCTGTCTTCAAGCTTTCCTTCTTCAAGGGTGAGCTGGGGAAGTAGGATGGGGAAAAGGCCAGATCGGATGTGTCCAGTTTGGGTAATCGCAGGTGTAACTGGAAAGGAAATACACACGTATAAGCACTCACATTGAGATGAAAGAAGTCTCACTGTTTTTCCCAGGCTGCCCTCAGAGTCCGGAGCTCACACAGTGCTCTTGCCTTGGCCTCTTGCGTGCTGGACTGTGGCGCTCCTCCATGCCAGCCACAAGGGACATTCCCACACGAATGCTCACCCTCTGTGGAGAGCCTTACATATGTCTCTCTGGTAGAACTGCGGCTCTCTGATCCCAGGGGAGCATCGGAAAAAGCATGTGAGGTGGCATCCAGTTGTATGAGGTTTCCTGCATGTTCCAGAGAAGTTCAAGGTAGCCTGTCAAGAGGGCTGTGGCGCCGTGGCTGCACAGAGAAACAGTGAAGCCAGAACAAGGGTCCTATGCACTCTCAGCCTCATGGCCTGCAGCTGGCTGTCACGAGCTTCCACAGTAAGGGTGGCCTCTCTGGTACTCAATTTCACTGTCCATATGGGAAGAAACAGCCCCTCTGGTGGGTCTGTCAGCAGCGCTGGGGGCGAACAGCCTTCTTCCTTCCCTTCCAACATCCTTGTCTCAGTGAGGGTCCACATTCCGTCCGCACCTTGGCAGTAGCCTTGTGCCAGAAGCAGACGGGACAGGCAGTGCTGTGTGTGGTGTCCCCTGGGCATTAAGGGGCAGTGGGAGGAGCCCAGATTTTGTGGGATGGCGGCCTGGTGGGGTAAAGGCCGGAGGTGGTGCGCGGAGGACCCAGTGGTGCTGAATGCCTGGGTCTCATCAGTCTCGTCTTCTAGGTTGCCTCAGAATGGGGTCAGCCTTTCTTTGATTATTTTTTGCGGGGGGTGGTACTAAGTGATTGAACTCAGGGCCTTTGCCATGAACTGTCTCCCACCCCTTTTTTTTTTTTTGAGACAGGCTGTCAGTTAGTTGCTATTGCCCAGGCCAGGCTTGAATTTACAGTCCTGCTGCCTCAGTCTCGCAGAGTACTGGGATCACAGGTGCGTGAGCCTAGCCTTTGGATGCTTTTACAAGTTTGAATGTGAAGAGTGTCTGGCATCCTGGGAGACCACACGACTTGAACAAAATAGTGGGCCCTGCGGAGGACAGACACCAGGCAGGCAGGCAGCTCCGTACGTGTTCCCTGCCTTATACCAAGCATACAGACTGCCTCCTGCTCCTCTGCCTCCCCTAATCTTAGTCTCCTAGCTGTGCAAACGCCATCCCTTTTCTGCTAGAGAATGCTTGGCTTTTATAAATCTGCCTGTTTTCTATTCTCATGGATGGCATAGACACAGAGATGGTGCCTGAGTTAATTCTGACCGGGTGCAGGTGGGAAGGGGTACAAATGCGATCTAAAGTCTGTCTCCAAACCATGGGTCATGGCCCATCAGTTGGCTGTAAAACCACTTTAGTGGGTCAGCCTATGATTTCTAGAGGGTGAAATATAATGGAAAAGATCAGGTGCACTGTATATAAAACATTTATTTTAGTTCCATCGATTCATGTGTGCTGGGTTGCAGTGTAGGACATATTCACTGCAGATTATATTTTAAAAAGTATTTGTAAGATAAAAAGCCAGAATCACAGGTGACAGAGGAGAAAGACTGTACAAGACATTGAAAGGGTCTAGGTGAAGTAATGGAGAAACAGTAACATGGGGGGTAGATTCAGGGTCGACTGTGTGTGGCATTTGAAGATGAGCAGGGAGGCCCAAGGCGAGGACTGGAGTGAGCTGGGCTGGGAGTGGCAGAGTCACTTGGGTTGTCTGAGGGGGCGAGTATAGGGTCAGGCTGGGGACGATGCTACACTGGTATTGAGAGAAGTGAGATTATGTCAGTGTGGTGCACAAGGCAGGGTCCCCAGGCCGTGGGTCTCTGTCGGACTAGAGACAGAGTGAGCTGGACATGCAGGAGCGATGGGCAGGAGGAAGGTGCTTGAGAGGGAGGGCAGTTACAGGAGGTGTCAAGGACAGGGCCGAGCCTGTTTGTAACCTCCATGGATCTGTCGGGGGTTGCATGTACTCTGGTGTTAGGGATGCAGGGAGACCACCTAGAACAGTGAATGCTGAGGGTAAGGTGGTCCCACCTTAATGTGGAGTTGGGGGATATAGATTGTGGCTAAAGCAAGTAGCAGAGTAGATGGTGATATTCTTAACCCTAGAGATACCTAAGTCACAGCTCATAAATCAGCATGTCAGAAAAAATTCTTTTTTGTTGGACCAAGGATTGAACTCGGGACCTTGCACTTGTGAGATAGGCGTGGCACCACTGAGCTAAATCGCTGGCCAAAAAATTCATACTTTGAAAGAGAAGATAAATCTGATTCTGTAATTTTTAGAGAACTGCTTCTATTGTTAGCAAAGAAATACAAAAATAAAATGACTTTGACATTCTGTCCTATGCCTTCTAAACGAGCAACAAGAGCAGCTGCGTTGGCTTTTTGTTGCTGACCAAAGACCTGGCGTAAATGGCTTGAAGGAGCAAAAGTTTATTTTGGTCCATGGTTTCAGTCCGTTGTTGACCAGCTCTATTGCTTCTGGGCCTGTAGTGAGGCAGAATCACGAAGTCAGGGAGCAGCAGATGACCACCCAGATGCTCATCCATGGCACCACAAAGCAGAGAGAGAAGCAAGTACATTGGACGCTTGAGTTACAACTGGTCTGACATACAAACAGCTTGAGTTATTAGGTTCATCTGCCTCTTGTTATCTATAGCGTGTGCCCGGGTAAACATCCAGAGCTCAGCTGGATTGACTTAGTGACCACCAGCCCTCAGGAACTGATTGGATTTGTAAGTCAAGGGTCCACTGCACCAGAGACACAGGGGTCAGGGGCAAAATATACCTTTCAAAGCCACTCCCCAGTGGCCTGCTTCATCCAATGAGACCATGCCTCCTAACAAGCCCATTGCCATGGACTCATCAGTGAATTAATCCATCGATGAAATTAAAGCCCTTGTGATTCAATCCCTTTCCCAAAAATCCACGAGCTTGGAACGGAGCCTCTAACACAAGACCCTTCAGAGGACACAATAGATACATGCTGTATCTAGTGTGTATATAGTGAAAATGGTCCCCAGCCACTGATGGCGTTATAAATCAATCCTCTTTTTAATTTTTTTGATGTCTAAATTTCTTGTGTGTGGTGTTGGGGTTTGAACCTGGGGTCTTGTACATGCCAGACAGACAAAGCAGTTCTACCACTGTGCTGCTCTCCTCGCCTGAGTCCTGTGTTTAGAAAGCTCAGTTGAGTGTGTTGAAAGTCAAGAATGTTCAATGAAGCTTTACGGTAAAATTGTTTTAAAAGTAAGTCTTGACTCTGTGCAAAAGTAGATAAATATATGAATGATACAGAGCAAGGGTCAGAAACCTTTTCTCTAAAAGGCCAGGCGATAAATGATTTGGCTTTATGGTATGTGTTGCATGTATTGCATTTGTTCATATCTGCCACGGAAGCACAGAAGCAGCCAGGGACAATGCTGAAATGACTGGTGGAGCTTTTTCCAGTGAAACTAGCTGCAAGAACAAGTAGAGGTTCAGCCTGTGAGCTGTTTGTTGATCCCTGGGTTACAAAATTACACTATGAGCAGCCCTGTCCTCACCGTAGGCATTAAGGGAAAGCGCACCCTTATCTGTACCCACTTTAGCGAGTGTGTAGCATCCTACCAGGTTGTTACATTGCCCCTTGCTTCTTCAGCAAGTAGTGGTATGACTGGTCCCATTGCCTCCCTGTGGCTTCTTGATACAGGTAATGATAGAGCAGACATCTTGGGCGTATGGCTTTTTTCTGTTGGATTTTTTTCATTAGGCTCAATTTCCCGAGTCAGTCAGAATAGGCAAGGATTAATATATCTTTATGCTGAAGCACCTTCTTAAAAGGGGAGAATTTTTCCAAAAAAGGCAAAAACATCCAGGGTTTACCTGGAGAGTGGACCCTACCAGGTGGAGCCGTGACATCCAGGTCTCCGGTCTCCCAGGCACAGGTGCCACTTTCCTTTTTCAATGCCTCCTGTCCCTTTCCCCCCAGAATCTTGTTTCTTATATGCTGTCAAGAAGGGCTGCTCCCTCCTCCCTGAAAATAGTGTGCACCGTGATGATCTGGCTCCTTTATGGGGTCTCTGAATCTGTGCTGTGAGGGGACTATGATTCCCTGCTCCCATCCTGCCCCATTGGCAGGAGTTCATCCATCCCACTCCTGCAAGAGTTTTGGCAAGCGATGGCCTCTTCAGGTGTTCAGCATGGTCCTTGATCAAGCAGAGTTCACTCACACTCCCAACTGTCTACTTATTTAGCCATTATACATCACAAAAACCTCTCTGAGCCTCAGTTTTCTAATCTGTAAAATGGAATAGCATCTGTAAAATAGTAATGAATAGTAATTTTCTAATCTGTATAATGGAATGGTATCTGTAAAATGGAATTGTATTGGTTCAGAGATTTCTGAGAAGATGATACAGGATAATATATGTGAAATTCAAACTGTTTTTCTTGGCTTAAGATGTAGTTTTGGTTTGAAACATAGAATTCTTTTTTGGGGGGATTCTGTTTTTTTCTTTTATCTTTTTCTGGGGGTATGGTGCCGGGGATCAAACTTGGGTCCTTGCACTTGCAAGACAGGTGTTGCCACCACTGAGCTAAATCCCCGGTTGTAACATATAATTCTTAACAACAGATTTTTCTTATTTCATACAGTTCTTCTTCTCTGAGTAGTTAGCTTAAATGATCATTTACAGAAGCATCAGAAGCAGTCAGGTTTTCCCTGTCATTGGGTTGTCCAGCATTGTCAGTGAGAGACTTTGTGACAAGTTTGTGTTTAATCTCCTTATCTTCATCTTCCTTGGTCTCCAAATGAGGTTACTGATCCCTGGGTATAACAACTG